CTGCTTGTAAAGTATTCATTATTACAGTACAAGGCTTTATGCTCTTGTAACTGTAAATAATAATTGCTGTCATACAAATAAAGAGCGGCAATCCGCATATGGCGCGGAGCAGCCTGCCAGGAATTTATTAGCAGTAAATTGGGAGGATATCAGTATGCATTAGCAATCACTTGCTTAACGCAGCGATAACCAACACACCAACAGGAGAAGTTTCTTCCGAGTGCCACGTACTTAATGTTGTCAAACACATCAGAAGGAGCCCAGGCCTCGAAGGAGGGTAGCCCCAGCCTTACGGCACGATGGCTACAAAACACCACAGTGGTCAGTTAGTTTAAAGACCAATATTAAATACAGGATGTTTTGGAATCACAGCCTCTCCAGGGATAGACTGCATGGGGAGGAAACGCGGGGTTTGATCCGGAGTCCTAACTCGGGTGACAAAGTTGTAGGAAGAGGCAGCTGTAAGAGAACCTGTCACCGACCGAAAATGGGAAGGCGACCGCAAGACAGAGGGCAGGGAGCAGAAGATTATGTCCCGAGCCTGGTTTCCGTCAATACTCTTTCCCATTTCGGAGGCCCACATCAAGGATTTTTTCTTTTAAAGAACAAACCAGTTTCTGCTATCTCATTTAATACAAATTTTGAGTTGGTTTTAAGACAATTGCAAGAATCTAGTTTCTTTAAGGATTCTACAACTGTAATTGTGTTACTTGGCTCTTCAACAACACGTTAGACCAGTGCTGCTAAGAGCTCAAGGTGAAGGGCACAAACAATGGCTTTTAACAARGGCTAATCCTGTTTCACCTACTGAGTTTACAGAAAATTATTAAAAGGACAAAAAAAMCCTTCAAAATAACAGTTATTTCTGGAAACAAGAAGCAGATGTTCTCCTCCGTTTGGCTCAGCTGTGCTACAGTACAAAAGTGCCTTTGTTACTTTGTCAGCAATCATTTATTTTATTTATTACAGACATTTTATAATGTCCATCACTGTAGTAGCGGTGCGTGATTTAGACTAATGCAGATATATTCCTCTATACATAAGCCATCAAGAAGCATCATACGCACACTCCAAAGGGCGGCCTTTTATTACACAGTTGTGCAAATGAGCTTTGGGGTTTGGTTTTTTTTTTTCCCCTTTTTCCACTTTCATAGTGAAAAGGGAACAGGAAGAGCAGGAGGGGTTATTGCCAAAAATCAGTTGAACCAACAGTAATTGAGAAGCACCGAAAGAAGACAAATTACGTTACAAAAACACAAAAGCTTATGGTATAAAAATAAACGCCGAGTCTTTGAAATCCAATAAAGGCAGAGCCACCATGGAAGGAAACGCTGTCTATGACAGAGTCGTGAAGAATTTAGAAGAGATTCCATTGGGAAAGGGGGGCGTTAAACCAGGAGCTCGTGGCAAGGAGGAGAGGGGAACACAGCCGGAATGCAGGATGCAGCCCGATCATCTGCTCTTTCGCCCTATCAGGTCCTGGGACCTTATCTCTTGCAGCCATTAAACCACTCCCCAGCAGATTAACCTCAGATAAGGAACCCGGGGCTTCAAAAATGTAGGCCTTCAATGCGAGCACCCCCATGCYGCCCTGCACGGCTCTGCTCCCTTCCTACGGCCTCGCACATGTGATTTCCTTCCATTAAAGTGTTCTCAAGTGCGGCTAATTCAATAGCCCCGCTCGTCACATGAGGAACATGCGTGATGAGGAGCAAAACGGGAAGCCAAAACGCTACGGGGAAGTTCATCAAAGACAAGATCTCAACTTGCGAGAGTGTCCGTGTAACCCTGCAATGCACGTTTGGGTATCTAAAACTTCGTATACTTGTTTAACATTTTAGTTTGAATAGAGGTATTATTTATAAGTGAATAAGCGTCCACTACTGAAAAGGTTTCATCCATTTGAAGGGAGAGACCGTGGTTTCAACAACAGATTATTCCAACAAATGGTCTCTTTAATACCYGAGAGAACACTAACAAATCCTGCACCCTTAGGCTGGATCTTAAATACACACCCCTATACACATAGGCAGCATCAGAATACGTATAACCTATTATGGATAGAAAATATAAATACATCGAGTTTCAGGCTATGTATCTGAGGAGATGTACAATTAGTTAGTGTTTGGCTTGAATATGAATTTATTGGCGCTGTCAGATCTTAAAGAGATGGTTTGTTGGCATAATCACAACACACACGAGCGCAGACACAACACCTAGGCCGCCCATGCATACACAGGTTATATCATATACACACACAATACATACAGAACTTCATACCATACAGTATCACRTGCAGTTCAGTAGGTACCTAGTACCTGCTATACTCTGTATTACATATAGTTTGTTGTTTTTCTCAATAGAATTCTTAGAAATTTCTAACTGGAGTAGCTGAACAGCCACTACATAAAAATGTGTATCATTAAGTGCATTAATCTCCAGGAATTCATCAAAACAATCACCCCTGCCCCACTAAGAATTACAGATTATCATACATGAAGCATCTGAGCTACAACACCAACCAAAAAAAAAAAAAAAAAATCAAGTGTCTACATGCCTAATATGCATAACTTATACACTTCAGTAATTAACACACACTGGAATGTTACCACAGCTCTGAAAACTTGCTCTAGCAGATTTTAGCAAACAAAAAAATTGTAATTATCAATGCTACAAACACCTCTTTCAACAAGCCATTGAGAGAAATCTCAAAAACAATTACAGAAATACTTTAGTATCTCCATGCAAGGTATCTTCGCACTTACAAACTGAAACAAGTCATCAAGAAAGAGCCCTGAAATAAGTGTTGTGTGTGTAAGTATCACTATATATACATATGAATAATTGTATTACTCAAACTAAAATTGACTTATGGATCATTTATGCAATTATTATTTCTCGGAGCCTGCTGCGCAGATGCTGGTTGGGAAGCACAAGCCCACACTACTAATCAGCGTGGCCCCAACCTGTAATTTGTGATGCCCAGTAAACTGCTCGTGTCAACTGCAGCAGCAGGAACGGAGGGAGCAGGGCAGGAAGGGACTGCAATAACCTGCTTAGCTTTCCTTTGCTTCTCCGACCTAGGTCTCAATTCCTATAGAGAGGGGGGGGAAAAAATAAGGACTTTCCTTGAAATGAGGTCACTTTCTAAACATATAAAAAGCAAACACATCCCAAGAAAACAGAACTGATTTGACTGTAGTTACCCGCTCCGGAACAGGCAGCGAGGACAGGGGCCCCSTCCACCAAGCTCCAAGTACCTGTTGAACTTCAGTCGTGAACAGTCTCACTGTTAAGCGCCTCTAAGGGCTTGCCAAGAAAGGGCCACAAGGAAACTAAGATTTCTTTAAATCATTTCTAAAGTTGCTATTAGTCTGATTAGCAAAGGATTGTTTTTTCCATTATTGTTTTCCACTGCAAATTCAAGTTTACTCACAACCCTGGYGTCAGATCAACAGGAATCTGCCCAGCTCCATGTGAATCCAGCACAGTGCAACCAAGGTGCAGGTTACAATGCCCGAGAGTTTTAATGTCAAAACATACATTTTGTCTTGCATTGGCCAAAACTACATGACAACGCTAAAAAATACCATAACAATTGTCAGAGGGGAAAAATGGGGACGGGGCAGGGTGGAAGACAGATATTAGACTATAATATTGGATAAAAGACAAAGTTTTTTGATATTGCAATGCCAAGCAGGCTGTTCCCAAAGGCAAAGCCCAGGGCMCACGGCACCAGCTCATGAAGGACACTCCTGCGCTCGGCCATTCGCCCCACGCTGGGAATTGCGGCAGCAAAGCAGTGCTGGAAGCAACGCCGGACACCGAAAAGAAGGAAAGTCTGAAGCAAGAGAGGAGCGGAAAAAATAGACGAAGAGAGGGAGCTTTCCTAGAGGCGGCCTCATCTTTTATTTAAGGAAGCAGAGGCAGGAACGGGTCGGATATCCCGAGAGGGCTCAAGGTGGTGGCAGGATGGGACAGAGCCCAGAGCCCTGCTCCAAACCCTGCCACGAATCCCGGCCTCTTTCCTGGTCCCTGCTCCAAACCCCGCCATGAATCCCGGCCTCTTTCCTGGTCCCTGCTCCAAATCCCACCGCGAATCCCGGCCTCTCCTGGTCCTGCTCCAAATGCCACTGTGGATCCCGGCCTCTCTCCTGGTCCCTGCTCCAAATCCCGCTGCGGATCCCGGCCTCTCTCCTGGTCCCTGCTCCAAATCCCGCCGCGGATCCCGGCCTCTCTCCTGGTCCCTGCTCCAAATCCCACCGCGGATCCCGGCCTCTCTCCTGGTCCCTGCTCCAAATCCCACCGCGGATCCCGGCCTCTCTCCTGGTCCCTGCTCCAAACCCTGCCATGACTCCCGGCCTGTGGCCCAGCGGGACGTCTCGTCCCGCTCCGCGCGGAGCATCCAGGGAGCGCAGATGTTTTCCTGTGTCAGCGGGACCAGCCCCGGCGCCTATCACTTCATGCCACTCATTCCTGAGCACATAAAAATCACGGGAAGGCCAAGGAGCAGCCGGGGAGCGCAGGCCAGGCCCAGCGCGGGCACGAGGCCCACGGCAGCCCCGCTTCCCACCGCGCCGCCGGCCGGAGCGGCCRCGGGAAGCAAGTCGGGAAGGAGCAGGAAGGAGTTAACTGGAAAACATGTTTTATGGAAGCTCCCCAGCCCCGCACATTTCTGCGCTCCCACTCACCGGGAACACGTCTCTTTATGAAGCCCGTAAAACATAATTAGCTCCGTTTTGTATAAATCTGCATCGCGGCGCAGGTAAGCAGAGCCTCTCAGCTCCCGAACTTTCCTCTTCCCTCTCCCAGGAGTTTTGCACCGCTGGGATATGTAAGTTTTGCGCTTCCCAGCGAGGCGCATCCCCTCCTTCCGACACTTGCCCGGGCGGCTCCGCGGAGCTGCTGCCCTGCGACTCCTCCAGAGGGGAATAAACAACAGCGGGGAGAAAAATAAAAAGGATAAAGCGCTGGGGGGGGGGTCCGCCCGGCCGCCTCACCTCGGCGCTCCGCTCCGCGGGCTTCTTCCGCAGCGCCTGTTTGATCCTGGGGTCCACGGGCGAGCTCATCCTAGCGCGCGGCGCGGCGCGGCGCGTCCCTCCGGGCGAGGCGGCTCCCGCGG